TAACGTTTTGTTGTGGTTTGAAATCATGTCTAGAACTCTTACAAAATTGCCACTTTCTTGCTCTCCAAAAACAGATGTTTGACTTGTTAATAACACAAGAATCTGTAAAAAAGATGGTTTATACAATAAATATCAAAAATAAAGTTTTCCTCTAAACGCCAAGATAACGATTGACAAGATAAGATAGAGCAAGATAACGATTGACAGACGACTTAAAAGATTGCAAATTATATGAATCAGGAAAGCAAGATAAAGGAAGCGAATTCCAAAGAACTGATGTTCGACGGAAAAAACTAAACAAATAAGAGTTTTTGGAGTACTTAGGAACAGTAAAAGAAAAAAGATAACATTTAATTGAATAACGAGTAACACGAGAATGAATTTTAGTAGATGGCACAAGAGACGCTAGCTCTTTAGAGCAGTGTCCATTATAGTATTTGTAGAAAAGAGAAAGAGAAGCAACATTACGACGCTGTGACAAAGGTTGTTCGCTGCAAGAGCAGGTCCAACTATGTTTACAATGCGTTTTTTCACCCTGTCTAAAAGAGAAAGGGCATCATTAGAAGATCCGCCCCAGATATAGCAACAATATTCCATACAAGGACGGATTAAATCCATTCAAAATACAGCGCAATATTTCACGCCACCTCGCTACCTCAGACTCTAAAGTTTGTTTTATTGCCGTATCTTTTTTATTTACTATTTTCGAACATTTTTTCTTTAACATCGTGTTATATTTTTATTTGATTTTGTTTTTTTAATCTATACTTATTTAATTCTTTTAACATTGTTTTAAAATAATTTTTTAATTTCTTTCTTTTTTTTTTCTTTCCTTTCTTTTTTTATTTCACCTTTAAATAGGTAGATTTGACATTTGAGATGTAATTGCATAGATTTACATTAAAATATGCACGTTAATATTTTCGTAAGATTTTATGCCGAAATGTAATACGTCGTCATTTTCATAATATGAATATGTATGTATATATATATTTGTATGTATATATATATAATATATATTATATATATATATATATATATATATATATATATATATATATATATATATATATATATATATATATATATATATATATATATATATATATATATATATATATATATATATATAGGGGAGAGCGGGGTTGGTTGTCACACTTTTTACATTTTAGGCTGCTCAGCTTTTAATTTTCATCCAATTAATGCCAAACTTTGCACAAAGCTAGTTTAACTATTTCCAGTAACTATTATAATATTTTTATGACATTGAGTGAAATATTTGTTGCTGTAAAATCATTTTTCAAAGACCACTTCTGTGTGGCAACTAGCCCCGCTCACGGGGTAGGTTGTCACATGGTGCGGGGTTGATAGTCACATTTGGATTTTGACAAGTTTAGATAAGAATTTAATGTAAAACGAGTACAAATTAATTTCGTTTATGTTTTACTAAGAAAAATAAAAATAAAATACTATAAACTGAAATATATATATTTTAAATATAACACAATTAACAAATTTAGTTTATCACCATAAATGTTTTTAGGTTTGGTTTTTTAAAAATTATTGGATAAAGAACACAATTCACAAATAAACTGTTGTAAGCCTGGTGTGCATTCTTCATGAGACCGTTTTTGGCAAACCTGACATTGAATCCACTATTCTCTTGATCGGCTGTTGGAAAATGATTCAAAACAATAGATGCACTAAATATAAACAATGCACAAACAAAACAACAGACAGTTTTACAAACTAAACAACAGCTAGTTGTTTAGTTTGTAAACAAAACAATAAACAGTTGAACTTCTGCAATCCTTTTTCTATAATTATACTAAACATTGGATCGGAATCTAAAGTTATGCACGTTGAAATAAAAATAATTTAGATTACAGATATTTAGTTAAACAAATATAACACTTTGACTTTAGATTTTTAAATAATATCTTAAACATTAAAATATTCCTCAATAATGCGGAAAATAAACAAAGCCAATAAAAAATCTGCAAGCGGCGTTTAATTTGCAGCGCATGGAGTCGAGGCAAGTGTGACAACCATCCCCATATATTTTGTGACAAGCAACCCCTTCTGAGTAAGTTGCTGGAAAACTGTACATTTACCTAAAAGCGTGAGAATTTCATGATAATTTTTTACGAATTAAGTTACTCAAATGAATAAAGTACTTTATAAATCTACATTCAAAACACAATAAAATAATGTTCGTTTGGTAAAAGAAAATTTCTGAGTAGGCGAAATTTTACTTTTTCATATCAAAAACCTTTAAAAACGAATAACTTTTCTTCTGCACGCTAAAAAAAGATAAAAATTACTGTAAAAATGTTTTTTTTATATAACATTTCCATTGCATAATTTGAAATTTCTATATCTTATTTACATTTCCTGTAATAAACTTTGTGACAACCAACCCGCGTGACAACCAACCCCGCTCTCCCCTACTGTACTGAAATTGACTCTCTTTTATTAAAACAATAAAAACTTTCTTTTTTAAATAAGTTAATTAAAAGATTAGATTTTCCTAATTTAATTATTTGTGTCAAATAAATCGATAATGTTTCTAATAAATCGATAAGAGATAACATAATCAGACAATAACTAGTTAGGCTGCATAATCAATAAGTATGTTCAGAGAATCTACTTCCATTTAATGCTATTTTCTTTTACAAGCTACGTGGTCTACTATGGTTACATAAGGTCTTCTTAAAGATTCCTTAATAGAAATAAAAAAAAGTTATTGGACTTGATAAACAAAATGGAACCTAGAATTAAATCTTGAGACACCTTTTATGGTTAATAGTAAATAAGATAATATTATTAAATCAATGAAGATTTAATAATATTATCTTATTTACTAATAATTTTCAGCTTGATGATGCTCATCAAGCTGAAAACTACAATCGATGAAAAAAAATGAGTACATTGTTCAAACTTGTCAAAAGGGTAGCATGCTATTTAAGCCTAACAAAGTTCAAAAAATTTAACAAAATGAGGTTGTTAAAACAGATAAAAAAAATGAAATAAAAGTTCCTTGAAAGCAATTCTGCTTTATCCTTAGGTGAATTATTAAAGTCCATTTAATTAATAGATAACAAGTCTCAAAAAAGACCGTTTTAAAAAAAACGTACTGTTTTTTTTTGAGTTGCAATTCTAAACAGAATTAATAAATGATACAAGCCTGAACATTTAAAAAAAAAAAAGAAAAAAAAAGATTCTTTAATATATAAATAAGAAAGTCTAATTTATAAATAGAAAGATTTTAAATTTTATTTTACGCCATTATTCGCCGACGACACTACCATTTACTCTTGTCATGATAAGAAGCCTACACTCTCTGATTGCTTGGAGGGGGTATCTGAGCTTGAAAAGGATCTCACTTCTGCTACAGCATGGGGCTCACAGTGGCTGGTGAACTTTAATTCAGATAAAACTCAATTTTATTCGGCAAATCGTTATCGTAATAATTTAGATCTTCCTATATTTATGAATGGTAATGTACTCGATGAGTCATCTACCATTCATCTTCTAGGATTAACTCTTACTTCTGATCTTTCTTTTAAACCGTATATCAAATCCATTGCAAAATTAGCATCTGCTAAGGTTGCATCTCTTTATCGAGCTCGACACTTTCTTACTCCAGATTCTATTCTCTATCTCTATAAATCTCAAATCCGTCCCTGTATGGAATACTGTTGCCACATCTGGGGCGGATCTTCTAATGATGCTCTTTCTCTTTTAGACAAGGTGCAAAAACGAATTGTAAACATAGTTGGACCTGCTCTGGCAGCCAATCTCCAACCTTTGTCACATCGTCGTAATGTTGCTTCTCTTTCTCTTTTCTACAAATACTATAATGAGCACTGCTCTAAAGAGCTAGCGTCCCTTGTGCCATCTACTAAAATTCATTCTCGTGTTACTCGCCATTCAATTAAGTCTCATCCTTTTTCTGTGACTGTTCCTAAGTGCTTCAAAAACTCTTATTCTTCTAGTTTTTTTCCTCGAACATCAGTTCTTTGGAATTCGCTTCCTTCATCTTGCTTTCCTGATTCATATAATTTGCAATCTTTTAAGTCATCAGTCAATCGTTATCTTGCTCTACAGATTTAGTCTTTTCTCTTCCAGTAACTTCCAACTCTTATAGTGGTTGCTTGCAGCCTTGTTGGAAGTGGAGATGTTAAAAAAAAAAAAAAAAAAAAAAAAAATTTAGCTATAAAAAGTGGTTTTGTAATTAAAACAAAATTTTTGAGTTTCCACCCTAAAATTCGAACTTGGCATTTTTAGTTATATAAAACAAACAAATTTGTAGTTACATAAAACAAACAAAAGTGCGAACTTTAAAAACACATTTTTATCCGTAATAACTTATAATATTGATTGCTACAGTAATAGAAAATAGATAAATAAAATCGAAATTTAGTTAAATTTGTTACTATTTAGATTGTTCTAATTAAGCGCTGAGGTTAAAACAGCAAGAACTCTTGTTGCGAAGACATTGGATGTTTTCAAAAAATTGCGCGGAATAGGACTATTTCAAATTCGGATGCACTTGATGGCGACATTTCAAAGAAAGGCTTTTAAATATTTAACTCCTCTGGTGATAATAATAATCTAAAAAATTATTATAATTAGTTTTGCATCAAAATTTATTTTATCTCTCACAGCTAAATTAATAGTTATATATATATATGAATTTGACGAAGTTGCTGTCATTAACGCTTTAGCGATGCATAATCAAAGTATTATCTGTGTTGTCTTATAAAAATGTTACTTGCTAGCTAGCTAACTAATGTATTTATGTATATAATATGACATTTAGCCTTAATTATTTGTTTTATATAACTAAATAAAATGAACTGAAGCTTATGTGTATTTTATTTTTTGCCTTTTAGTTATAAAACTATAAGGTAAAAACTAAAACGTTACTTTGATAGAAAGTTCATGCTTTATCTAATTTCATTTATAAGTATTATAATTTTATTAAAATAACATAGTATTTATAGAATACAAAAAAAATCATTTAAAAATGGCAACAACAAAAGTATTTAATGTTGGTGATTTAGTTTGGGCAAAAATGAAAGGATACCCTCATTGGCCTGCAAGGGTTAGTGTTTAGATTAGTGTTATTTAACTTAAATTATGCTATGGTTTTATAATAATTTGTTTATTATTTAATAATTTAAGATTGAGGAACCTAAACCAGGTCAAGTTATTCCAAAGAAAAAATACTCATTATTTTTTTATGGTACACATGAAACGTAAGTGATACATATTATGATTTAGTTAATTATATCATTGCAAGTATAAATTATAATATGGTTGATAAAATTGCAAGTTTCTGTTTCTTGATATCCATGGAAAACATAAATAACCGACAAACAAACAATTTTATATTTGTTTTAATCATGTTTTATAAAGTTATTTTTTAAAGTAATACATAATAAATTTCTTAATTAGCATTTTATGTGAATAAATGTAAAATAATAATTACAAATATAATCAAAATATGGTTTACCATGAAAATTTCTAATAATTAATATCAATTTGAAAGTTTAATTATTTGTTTTAAAACATATATATATATATATATATATATATATATATATATATATATATATATATATATTTATATATATATATGTATATATATATATATATAATATATATCTTGATTTTAATGAAAAACGTGAGTGTATTCAAGCTTGCGATAACGAAAGTCGCGATCGTTAAATAGCATTAAGTTATAAAGTATTTTAGTTGCTACCGCATAAGAGATTATTCCTTGAATTTAAAGTTTAAAAAGTTAAAAAAAGAAAAGTTTTCAATAATATTGTTCAAAAAAATGTTTTTTAGCTTAAGAAAGGGAGGTATGATTGTGAAGCCAAATTCAAAATTTCTCAAGTTGAATAATATATTTCTGTTTCTCACAAAGATAAAAAAATTTACTTATGATAATCTTATTTAACTAATGCATCTTACAAGTCAAGATTATGTAAGTTGTGTAACCTTTGACCTGTTAATAGTCCCAATACCAAGAGTTAAAAGCTTTCAGTTGGATGAAACTAAATAGTATCCCTATTTGGGATCAAGTTGAAGACTTGATTTTATTTGTAAATTGCAAATAGATAAATCCTTTATTTAAAGAATTTTTTTTATTAAAGTCATTTTATTAAAAAGTAATACATGTTTTAACTACTACTGATCGTTTTCAATTAAAATTAAATATTAAAAGTTTTGCTTGAATAAAGGTGATTAAAAAAAAAAAAAAATACAAAAGTTAATTGTCTCTACAAACTGTTAATAATAAAGTTACGAAATATAACAAATTCTATTTAAAAATTAAAAAAAAAACTTTTCAAAATTGAAAAAACATATGGTAAATACTTTGATGACAGGGTTAGGGTTTAATTGATAAAAGTGTGGAAACTTCTACAATTTTAGAAAAACATTTGTATAAGTTTAGATTACTGTATACATTTTCTGAAGATCTTGAAATTAGACACGGTTTAGAATTTAGATTGGAAAAGAAATTATAATGAAAAACTGATATAGAAGCTGGGCATTTTAACAACTCTTCACCTAGTTGGGTAAAATCATTAGGTATTACACAATGGCAGGAAATTTGTGTTTACAAGCTATATACATCAATATCTCAGCTGGAAATATTGATTAAATTGATTATATTTCCAAAAAATGCTGAGAAAAATTAGTAAAATTTTTCTTCTATGTAAAAAAAGTAAATTCAATTGATGGAAAATGGTTTGTATGATTGAATATTGGCATGTACCATTGAACTGTTACAGGTCTGTCACAGTATGTTTGCACATCACAGTATGTTTGCACATCACAGTATGCAATATGGTAACACATTGAACTGATTTAGGTCTGTCACAGTGTGCAATATGATAACACATTACAATAAACTAAAAAGTTAGGTAACCCAAATTGTAACCGAAATAATTGGAAAGCTTGGTGAAATTTTTGTTTTACTTGGACTACCGCATTTTTTTAATTATGTATTTTTTTAAATTAATATACAACGAAAATTTAACATGTTCACAAGGCTTGCTGAAAAATGGTATTTTAATTTGGAATATCAAGCAGCTCAGCTTTTCTTTACTTTTACTTATGCAAATGTTGGCATTTGCTTGAAAAATTTTAAAATAATTCTGTTCCAAATATTCATGTAACTGAAGGTTTTTATTTATAATAAAAAAAAATTAGTTACTGAAATTTAATACGTGTTTCTATAAAACTTTTAAAAGACTTTGAAAGAAACTATGTGAAAAAATTATAATACTTTCATGTTTTATAAAAGTATATAGTCACTGAGAAGAATTAAGCAGACTTTTTTGAAAATCATATTTTGTAGTCGACATTCTCATCTTGCATTTAAAAAAATTTTGTAAGTTGAGCAAACTGAAAAAGGCTATATTAGGCAAGAATTACTAAAATAAAAAAAAGCTTGTAAAAATTTTGTTTCTTCAATTTTTTATAACGTTAAATCCTATTGAAATTATGATTAAACAGCTGTTTAAAAAAGCTCTGTTAATTTGACTGCAAGTCACACTAGAATTAAATTGTTTTATGTGTGTTCTGTAAAAAAATCCCATCCACTATTTATTAGGACTTTTATTAATTTTAACAAATTAAAATAACTTAGGTCATTGATGGTTAAATTCTACTAATAAGTTAAATGGTTATTATTCTACTAATAAGTTAAATGCTTCTTTTGAATTAGACATTCTTCAGTAAATATAGATATGAACGTCAACATTCATTAAAAAAAAAAAAACCTATTTGTTGCGGGTATTACACAAAATACCTAGTTGAAATACCTAATTGGTAGGCACTATATATTATAGTAATGCAAAAACTATTTTATTTAGGAATATTTGAACTGATAAAAAAAAAATGTGGTTTTTGTAATGTTTAAGTTAAAAACCATTTTGTTGAGTATTTCAAAATATTTACTCAAGATTAACAATGTACTTATATAACTTTTAAAGATACTTCACAAGTATTAACTAATTACTTGAATACAATTAAAAACTGCTAAAATAAGTAAATAATTAATAAAATAAAAAAAAGTAATAATCAATAAAAATAATTTAAATATAATTCGGACTTTAATTAAAGTTGTTTTCTTTGCTTGAACAATGAAATAAAAATTTGCATTCCATTAATGAGCCTTTTAATAAAATGAATTATTCTAGTCAGAAAAAGTATTTTTTTAAATAAACAATGAAAAATTAAATTTATGCTGAGTCATTAGCTCTGCAAGGACATTCATTCAAAACTTAAAAAAAATTTATTTTTAAATTCTTGTTAGTTGTTTAGATTATTAATCGTAATTTCTATATTGTCATGAATTTAAAGTCTTATTTTATCTATTTTTAATATCTCTTGCAATTATTTTCATTTTATATCTTAAATGTAAAATATCTTTTTAATTTTTATAATACAAAATATCTTTGTTATATTTATAGTATAAAAAAGGAAATACTAATATTATTACCATACATGTTTATTGCAAACAGTCATTTTTTAGAAAATTTTTACTTAAGCGACTTTTAAATTGAATTTTAAAAAATCAAAAGAATTTCAAGTATCTAAAAAACTTCTTATTTTTTTACTGTGTAAAATTTATTTCCGGCTGTCACCCCAGTTTCTGGCAATTATATAGTTAAGTCGATACCCAGAATGACTAAAAGAACAGTTAAACGCTCTCATTATTTGCTTAAACAAGCAGTCTTGCTGTTCAATGAGACAATATTATCAGTTAGTGCTGAATGCCTATCTCAGTCATTTAAAAGAAAATCCCATTGTTTTATTCCAAGTTTTAATATACAGAAGTAAGTAGACAAGGGTGAAGTAAATAAAAGATAATATGGAGGGTAGCAATATACTAGTAAAACAAGCAAAATGTGATAAGTTATAAACACTAGGTTTAGTATGAAAGTAAAGTATATTTTGTCCTTTGACATTTAAATATATGCCTATCAGGATTTCTCAGGAGACACATGCAGTCGAACACCTTATATGACTTTGAAAATAAACAAACTATTAACTAGAAAGAGAAATAAAAAAAAAAAAAAAAAAAAATACAAAACTAAACTAAATGAATGTCTTAATGAATGATAAAAAGAATAAAAAATCAAACAGAAAAAATAAAAGCATTAAATTAATGTTTTTATTTTGATTTAAAAGTGTTCCACAAAGACTTTAGAAATAAAAAAAATAATCAGAGCTTATTAAAACCCTGTTTGTTTATTTTAAAAAGAAAAAGCCTGAATTTAAGATCTTCTAAATTTGTCGCTTTACTGTGACAACTTTTATTCTTTAGGTTTTACTGTTAAATCTGCAGATTCGCCTAATTGATTACTTAAATAAATAACATTATTTTTAACATAACATTATTTCTAAAATAACTGACAATTTGCATGAAACTTCTTCTGGTGGTTTTTAAAATTTAAGGCTAAAACAAAGTTTCAACCCTCTCAAGACTGTTTTTATTTATTAAGCAAAAGAGGACCCAGAAAACATGTCATACGGAACAAGGTTTGTCAAAAAAATTAACTCTATCTGTTATACTTTTAAATTAGGCTGTTTTTAATACCAATTTTGGTGGATTATTAAGTTATAACATAAATTAGCATGATGGCAAAGTTGTGGGAATGGGGGGTCACAGATTCACAGTTTTTGCCACAAAGGCTTCATATATAAAACTTGAAAATAGCCATGATCAAGTTGTCTTAATAAAAAAATTTTTCGTGGACAAACGAGATGGAAAACTGCACTCATCTTCTGGGAAGGCTTGTAATTCAAAAATATATGATCCCTAAACTCAACTTACCTACTGTCAGAAGTACTGACATTTTCGTTTACACATGTATGTATAAAAATTATATTAATTAAATCAGCACATGCTAAAAGGGCCTTAGTCCAAATCAACTGGTTTTGAGAAAAACAAAAATAATTGTTTAACCCAAATATGACTCAACATTTCTTTTTGTAAAAAAAAAAATTAGTACTAAAATAGTTTGATTTGTAACCAAGGAACCAGGTTTTTTAAAATTTTTTTTACTATGAAAAAATAATGATAAGAGTGCTTGACTGAGGCCCTATTAACATGTTGTAGGAATTTATTATGCATATTTCTTAAAAGAATTGCTGCTGTTGAGTTGAGCATGTCCTTCAAGGTTTCTGTTCCATTCTAAAAATTAGAACTGTTGTAGAATTGAAGGTATTCCTTGAGAACATATTGCAGCAACTTTTGGATGTCTTTGATTTTTTCATCTTAGGTTGGCACTTTATCAAGTAGATAAGCAATTTCAGTGGGTTATTTACTTCACTAATTCCCGGTTGTTTTAGGCTGAATGTGTGTTGCCATGATTGAGTCTATGAAATGCCTTGCAACAACTTGAGAAGAAAATTTTGTCTTTCGGTACAGTTCTGTTCTTAGTTTCCTCAGATGTTACCATTTTCTTATAAAACTTTGGCCACCAAGTTTTAAACTTGAGTACTTCGTTGGTGTCCAATTCTTTAACAATGGACTTGTGTTTTTTATGCTTGACTGGATAGCCTAATCTTATGTACTGTAATCTTACTAATCTGTAATCTTACTAGCTAGCCTAGTATTATGTACTGTAATTTTTCCTGCATGCAGTCCCTGTTATCTTTTTAGGAAAAATGTTTCCCCTTGCATTAACAAACTCATCACCTCCTACTCTTGCTTTTTTCAAGACATTCCTTTTCCATAAATCTTTATTTCTTTTTCTTTTTTTACCGACATTGTCCTCATTATCCTCCATCATTTATTTTTATAAAACAACAATATTAAAGTAACGTTGCAAAATCATTATCAGTACAAAACATATTTCTGAAGCCAAATTATAGGTTATGGCAAGCCATTGACTGAATAAGCAATAAACTGATGTAGCAGACAGCTGTGAGTGTACGCTGTTCAATAGTTGACAGGCGGCAGTGTTTCCAACTCATGTGCTAGAAGGGCTTCAGTCACTGACTGAGGCTCTTCTTGCATAGCCTCATTAACTTAGTAGCCAGTATCTATGCCACGAGTGCATGTGACTGAGATCCTTTTAGTGCACAGCAATGGAGCTATATTTCAATATAGTGGTTTTTATCAATAACTTAATTTATGTATTTTTTTGATCGAGGCCCTTTTAGTGTGTGCTAATTCAATTACTTTATATATTTTATATATTTATGTATTTTATATATTGCAATCTATATTGTATAATGCTATACAATATAGTTGCACTTAGAGTTTAATTCAGAACAAAACAGTTCAAGCAAAAGACTTATCATTGTTAAAAAATCCTATTTTATACATATATTATTAACAATCAATTGAAATACAACTTGCAAATTCAACTTAACCTACTGACATTTACACTTAACCTACATACATTTGATAATATTGTATTTTGTACAATCTTTTTATTGTACAATAGTATCATTTTACACATATTTACATATATACATAAATGATCATAAATAATATTTTTATAAAAATATACTGAGACACTTTTTCTTGGTATTAACTCAGGTATAATGGCTGATCGTGAATTCTGTGCAAACAGGTTTGAATGAGTATTAAGTTGCTCAATATAAGAATGACTATTAAGTTGCTTAATATATGATATGATTAAAATATTTCTAAATAAAGCTATGAATATTTAAATTAATTTTTTTAATTATTTTTTTCAGAGCTTTCCTGGGTGCCGAGTGTCTATACTCTTATGAGGATTTTAAAAGTAAGTATGGTAAACCAAATAAGAGAAGAGGTTTTCAAGAAGCACTTGAAGAAATTGTTTCAAATCCTACAGTTGTACATGAGCAACAACCTGAAGAAAGGTTTGTAAAGCTTTGATAATAAATTAAAAACAATATTCCTTAAAATTTTGAAATCTTTTTAACTTACCAAAATTTTGAAACCATTTTTAATAAAAAAAGTTATGCATAAATAAAAATTTAATTAAAAAAAGTTAAAAAAGTTTTTGTGGATTTTTACTATGTGAATTTTGTAAAAAAAAAAAAAATTAGCTTTGTAGTTTTGGATTATTTTTGTATCAAGTTCAAGTTCATAACAAGTTTGAACTTGGAATAACCAAAAAATTTTATTCTTGAAAAGATTTTTTTTATTAAGTTATAATCAATACATTGTTAATTATTAAAAACTCTTTCTTTGGAAAAATAAACTGTTAAAATAATCTTAACCAGCAAAATCTTTTTTTGGCAAGGTTGTATAATAAAGGATCAAGTCAGGATCTTGTTTAAATAAAAGAGTTCATTAGAAGAACCAATTAAAGTATGACAACAGTATTCTATAAGAGGACAAATCGAAAGTTTATAAAAGTACATGACAAAGTAAAACGGCAAACATGATAAAGTGTGGCAACCTTAGCAGTTCTTAATTTTGCAATAGATTGCACATATAATTTCCATGAAGGAAATTACTAGAAAGTTACTAGAAATGAAGGAGAGTGCTACTAGAAATGAAGGAGAATGTTGTCTGCGATTAATTTAAGACTGCTAGAAAGAAGTGATTCAATAGACAAATGTTTTTTTTCAGATATATCATGTCCACTACATGATATGAAGTGTTGAAAGATAACCATAGAGAGTATTAAAAGATGCACCAGATAAAGTAGCTTATTGAGAAAACTGACATGCTAGGCTTTGAAAGCCTTTAGTATATCAAATATACTCCAATTTAATGCACAATAGAAACTTTCTGTTATAATAGTTAACAAATTAGTAGTAAAATGTTAACAAGTTAGCATTAAAAGAAGATCAAAATCTGTATTGATTGTGAATGTATTTGGCATACCTAGTATTTATTAGTATTAAAAATTTTACCAGTTATTTATATTCAATAGTTCACAAAGTTCCTGATTTTTATTGTTTCAAATTTCTTAAGTTTAATTAATTAATAATATAATTTTTTTTCACCTCCCACTAAAGTCAAGGAGGCTTCTTTTTTTTAATTTTTTTTGTTTTAACTAAAACTCTTTCAACCCTAAACTTCAGACCACAAACCAGGCCTCATTTGAAAGCTTTAGATGATGCGCCATTTACATTCGTGTTGAGCCATTCAACGTAAGCATTAAGTCATTTCAGTCTTTTTATCAAGTTTTAAACAAGTCTAAAGATATCCTTCAAGAAGTTAGATAAAAGAAGTTATTAACTTTATAACAACTTTATAAAAGTTTAAATGATGATTATGTAAAAAAGTTTGTAATGACTATTACGTTTGCTATTAGCACTGTTTACAAATGTAATAAGTTAAGAAAAAACAAATAAAATTCTTGTTTTACTAACTTTTCCATTAAATGCTTAGCAAAAGAAGAAGAAAAAGATGTTGTATGATACCTCAAAAAAGAAATCATAAAAGAAACATAATAAAAAAACTTTTATTTTTCATCATACAAGTACAAGAATATTTATTTAGACAATTTTATTTTATAGTGCCACTTTTGGTATTTTAATTTAAAATTTTTTTTTAAATTAAAGCAGAGAAAAATCACAAAAATAAAAAGTTCCTAAAAATATGTTAATGACCGTCTTTAATTCTGAAGACCTCAAAAAACATATTATCTTATAAAAAATTTTGTTTCGCTTTTTTTCAGCGTCACTCTTCAGTTACTATAATCTGCTTAGTTATTTAATTAGAATCATTAATTATTTGATTATTTACAGATTAAGTGTTTTCAAATAATATCTTAATGATAAATAAATTTGATGATTTTGTTTAGTGAAAGTGATGATGAAAGCGAAAACCCACCTGAAACTGAAATTGAAGTCAAAAAGAAAAAAGAAAAAAAGGTTATAAAAATGTTAAACTTTTATTTGCAGCTTTTGTATTCCCATTTATTTGCAGAATATTTTTCATGTATAATATATTCCTTTATTATTATTAGTTTTACGACACCATACCAACATAGACATGGAGTTTCTGGTGTAGATATGAATAATAAAATTTATGTTCAATCAAATAATCTAAATTTGTAAAGAAGCATACTTATATTTTACAAATTTGCCTACTTGGGTAATGCATGGTAGTGCATCACACACGGAGGGAACTATATTTTTCTTACACATGGAGAGAACTATATTTTTATTCCGCTTTTTTTCTTTTCGGTCTCCCTTGGTACTCATAATATTTAAAAATTAATTTTATTTTATTTGATAGAAAATTAAAAATAGTTGTACTGACCTAACTGTAATATAACATTAATGTTAGTGATGTATTGATAGCACATTAGTGGCCAATGCTGATGGATAGGAAATGATGCAGATATCAATGAATTTTCTAATTATTAAAATTTTGAAAATATAAGACCATACAACTTTAAATCGTGTAAACTTTTTTATGGAATCAGAACTGGGAAACAAATACTTGGACCCAAATCAGAGCCAAACCATTATTTTAAAAGAAATTAGAAAAATTCAAAAAATAAATACAATTTTAGAGAAACACTTTTTATTTCAATTTTAACAAGAAAATGGTATTAAGATAAGCAGTTTACTTTAATTCTGTAAATTTATTAACTTGTTAGTAATTTAGATATCTCAACAATAATCATATAGTAATATAGATGGCTATACTACTAAATAGGTTACTTTTTAGGTATAACAATAACAGGCCTCCCAGTCTGTCCCAAAATTCTAAAATGTCCCAAATTTTCAAAAACTTTACTTTTTTGTCATAAAATGTCATAATTTATAAGGTTATGTCCTAAATTGTCCTTAAATTTTTAAAGATTTTTTTAAATTTTAATTTTAAATGTTTGAATTTTGGTTTTAAAACATCTGATTGTTACAACATCTTTTGTTTTAGTGGCAATACAGTTATACTTACAATACATAAAAAATACCAAATAAGTAATCTCACCATTTAGATGTTTTTTAAAATATTGTGTGATTTGATGTTTTTTTTATTTTAAGTTATTAAAAAATGGGGTTTATCAAATTTTTTAGGAGGAAGTTAGCAGGAAAAGGAAGAAACCAACACCAGCTGTAAGTTATATTAAATTGAAAAATACCAAATTTAAGTATTATTATTTTATTCAATTTTTTCAATTTTATTTCATCATTTTTGATGTTTTATCATTTTATATTTTTTGAATATTCAAAACATTTATTTAACGATAAAAATAAAAATATTTCATAATCTACATTATTTTCTATAATCTATATATCTACAATATTCTGCAATAATCTCTTCAAAAATTTACACTTGCTTATTAATATACTATATTCAATAGTTTATGACAGTAATGTCAAATCAATAAAATAATAACTCTATATTAATATTGCTTAAAATTAAATTCTTTATACTTTGTTGGAAAATCTTAAATAATCTTCTGATGTGATGCTTTAATATTTTTAAGTTAAAATTCAGAAATTGTTTGATGATCGTGTACATATGTGTTCATATAAATGTATATATTTTAATTATTTTTCACTTTTTAAATTATTATAATTTGTATATTTTTAACAAATTTAATGTAAAATTTTAATGATCAACTATTACAAAGGGAAAGTGTTTTTTATGGCTTGTCTTTTTTTTCACTTTTGTGTAAACTTTTAAATTTTTTTTTTTAAAACTAAAACCATTTATAAAACTAAAAACACATGTTATTTAACATATTAAATAAACTCATAAAAAATAATGATAATACAAATATATATATGCATCATAGTAAATGCTCGTAAAGTTTTCAAATGTTTGTTGCAAAGTTAACATTAAAAGTTTAAAAGACATAAACCATTTATAAAACTAAAAACACACATTTTTTAACATATTAAATAAACTCATAAAAAATAATGATAATACAAATATATATATGCATCATAGTAAATGCTCGTAAAGTTTTCAAATGTTTGTTGCAAAGTTAGCATTAAAAGTTTAAAAGACATAAAAAATAATCAAATTTTTTTTGTGTTTTTCATTAAATTGTATCAACTGTAACAAAAAAAAAATATCACACTAAGTTTAATTCTGATAAAAGTAAAACATATTTGTGATTTTTGAACATTTTAATAAGTTATTAAAAATTCACTAAAAAGTTTACAGGTATATTACTATATTTTGTTCAAAACATGTGTGTTTAACTTTTAAGATTTTCAATTATAACCATTAACTTTTATAGCACAAAAATTTTTGCATAAATCTTTTATATTATCAATATGTATTTAATTACAATGCATGAAATTGTTTGAATAAATTATTCAAAAAAAGTTAATAATAAAAGTCAAATTGCAACAGAGGTGGTGGCAAGAAAGCGTTGCAGCACTTTGTTTTATAAGAAAACGTGAGCGAACGTGTATAACAAACATAAACTTCAGTTTAAATAATCTTAAAACATACTAAAACATAAATCAAGTTTTACAGTTTGATTTTTACTTGAAATTTGCATTGAGTCAAGCTCTCTTTAATTTTGATCTGCAGCATTTCTTTCTGTTAAAAAAATCATTATATAGTTTTAAAAATTTTCGTTTAATAATGTGCCAGCGTGGCCAAGTGGATAGCGCGCTGAGCTTCTGAACAAGTAAGCGGTGGTTCGAGTCTTACCACTGGCAACTACATTTTTTTTTTAATTTTTTACAATTATTTTAAAATACAAAATACTTTTGAAGTTTTAGAGATTATATACAAACATATGTAACCATAACGATATGATAATGTAATGATGTAACGATATGTAACGATATTATACACTTTAACGAATGAAAAGATTTTTAAAAGCTAAAATTTCTAAAAACATCAAAATACCAGGAGAAAAAAATTTGTTGCGTATGTGTCATGATTGAGATACTTATGTTATTAATGTGCTCAGGTAATTAGTTCTAATAAACTAAGGATGGTCTGAAAAAAAAGTTGTCTGAAACTTAATAAATAAAAAACTTTTTAAGACAGTCCTGCCACTTCAGAAAGTGCCACTGTGGAGGCAAAAAAAAAAAAGCCCACAGCTAGAAACATATTTAAAACTTTCTTTTGACAATTAAAAGTTTTTTTTGCTACGTTTATATTTTTTAATTATAAATATATGCTGCAGCTGTTTTTCATAACGCCTTAATATGCTTATTATGTGTATCGAGAAAAGGAAAGTTGAAAAAAAATTAAAAATTAACTTTGTAAAATATTTTTTGAAAAGAATAATTTTTATGAATTTTTTCAGAACTCTTTGATAATATAATCACTCTTTAATATTTAAAATAGCTTATTTTGTAAAAAAAGTCAAAATTGATATTTTTTACCTTAAGGCGTTTTGAAAAACGGCTGCAGTATGGATGATACAATGAATATGTTAAAATAAGATAATTTGATGCAAAATGAAAAAGCTCTTAACAAAATCCGCTAAACCAAAAAAGTTAAAAGTAATTGCAGTTCAGTGCACTTAAAAATTTTAATATAGCGTGTTGATGTTTGCAAAGATTTTATAAGTTATTTTTTAATTTTAAATTAAACTAATTTTTTTTTTAATTTTGTTGTGCAACATCCCTATATAAACAAATATGTTATTTGTTTATATATTGTCTATAAAATGTAAAAAATCGACTTATATAATGTTTTATTCAGGGTTGTAGGTAATATTAGTGCTTCTTAGGCCTTTAAAAATGACGGTCATAGAAATTAGATTTAATTTCAATTTTTTTTTAAAAACTCTTACTATTAAAGATATATGGAATATATTTTTATGGGATATATTCTAATAAAGGCAAAAATAATTTATTTATTATTTTATTAGAATATACCCCATAGTAATTTTTTTTTTTAACTAAGCTAAACTGAATTCAGTTACAAATTTATTTGTCCTTGAAGGCCATCACACTGTTTTATTGTTTTATAAACAAACACATCAATAACAACAACAACAACAACAACAAGACAAATTCATTTTGATGCTTAAATGTTAATGGAAACTGTTTGTGTTACTTCTAATTTCTAAACTTTTTTGTAAAAATATCTGACAAGAATTCATTTTAAGAAACTAAAATGTCAGTTTTGTCAATTCTAACTTGTCATTAAAGTCTGTTATAGTCATCTTGTATAAATATTTTTTTAAATAGCATACAATAACTTTTATTATTTATTTAAAACAAAGTAAGAAACATAAATAAGTTTAACGAAAAATCTATAAATATAGAACATCTCCAAAATCAGACAATGATTTATGTTTTTGAATTAACAATTTAAATGTATACCAGGGCTGTGGATTCAGAGTCGTGACTCTGATTCCAATAGTAAAACTTGCAAAATACAAAAAAACATACAAAATATTCAGATAACCTTATATTTATATTAAACCTTTGCAGAACTTTTCATAAATTTATCAAAAAAAAAAAAATTTAATTATTGCGTGATATTTTTTAAAGAATTCAAAGAATTCTCCAAAAATTTTGCTTTGGAGTCGGAGTTAGAGTCGTGCTCTAAAAATTCAACAACTGGAGTCGGAGTCGGTACGACTCCACACTCATGATGTACACTAAATTTGTTTAAAAAAAACTGATTAATAAAAAAAACTATTAATAAATAATTAATTTAAGGACTATTTTTACACTGATGTTATTATTTTTTCTTACTAAGTAGTTTTAAAATTAATTGATATTATATTTAGAAAGTAATTAAAATGGTATTAAATGATATTGTAAACTACTAGGTTAAGAAAAGCAACAAAAAAGTGAGAACAGTAAAATCGTTGGAGGAATGGAGTGATTCTGATGACGAGGCATTAGTGATTGATACTTCAAAAGAAAAGAAAAAGGTTTACATTACTTATAATCTGAAATGTTTAACTGAAATGAAAACATGTAATATTTTTTTGTTATAACTTTAAAAAATTTGCATTTGCTCAAAACTAAAAAACAAAATATTATATCATTAAATCCAAGCAACCAAAATATTACATCATTAAATCTGAAAATAATTTGTAATAATGATAAATATGAAAAGGATTATTGACATAATTATGACAGATATTTCTTTATAGGATTTGGTGGAAGAAGAAGAAGACTTTGAAGATCAAACAACTACAGAAGATGACTCTAAAGAAGATAAAGATGTACGTTTTTAAAATATTTATATTAATATAACTTTTATATTTTTATTTTTGTAATAAATCTTTTATATTTTAAGGACTATAATCCAGATTTGGATAAAAAAAAGAAAACCAAAAAGAAAAAAAGTGATACTCAAAAACCTGTTGTCAATAAACAATCTGCACCAAAAACTGTTAAAGAAAAGAAACCTCGCAAGACTAGTGTTAAGAAAACTGTTAAGAATTCTGATATAAGCAGTGTTAGTTCTGTTAGTTCAAGCGATTCTAGTAGTGGAGATGAAGAAATAGAGCAACTAAAGAAACGATTGTTTAAACAAGATGTAAGCTTTGTTGTTTTAAAATTGAAAAACTTTTGTTTATCTGATGAATATATTTAGTTAAAATTTAAAATTATTTCAGTGTGAAATCTTAGTGGATGCATATATTAGGGGATTCAAAAAATAACATTAAAAAAAAAAAGAATTAGCTAACTCCCTAAATGTGTTCTATGTATGCGCTTCATTTGACACCCAGTATAAACCGTATATATATATATATATATATATATATATATATATATATATATATATATATATATATATATATATATATATATATATATATATATATATATATATAAATATATATATATATATATATATATATATATATATATATATATATATATATATATATATACACACACACACACACACACACATACACACACACATATATTGGCATTTCTGCAATGAAGAGGGAAAAAAAAAAGCAAAAAAGTCATAAAAACACATATTAAACTTTATAACTCTTTTTTTTAACAATTTAAAAGTATTTTTAAGCAGTAATAGTATTTAAAAAATTTTATTATACAATAACATGGTTTTAAAGGTGTAAGTGTTGTAAAAAACGTGTTTTTTCAACCCTTACAGGGCGCGAATAGAAATTTACTAATCATTAACTATATATTAATGTCGTTACAGATTATGGAAGGATTTTTTTATCTATACCAATTGCCCGCATTTTTATTACTATTATTTTTTTTAACTGATGGTATTTTAAAAACGCACAAATCCATTATGAAATAAAAAAAATGTGACACAATTAAAAAAATCTGTCACACTCCTTGAATTTCATGAAATTCAAGTTGCATTACTCTAAAATCAGGCAGGTATTATTCTGAGTAATAAAATACTCAAAGAGGTCAATAGAATGGCTGACTACATTTCTCTTTCCAGGGCATCTTGATTTTTGACTTGCGACTTTTCTGATTCTGCAATTTTTAAAACAAAACTTAATTTCATAAGTTTTGATATTTTAGTCTATTATTTTTTAGAAATAATTTGTCATAAAGTAACAAATTTTAAAAAAACAACGGCTTGCACCATGGTTTAAAATGAGATGTAAAATTCAAAGAAATTAGCTCTAAACCAATTTTTTTTCCAATGACAGAATTTTCTTATAATAAATATAATAAAGATGAAATGAATAAAAATATCACTTTGAGTTTATCTTGACAAAATTAAATGTAATAAGTTTTTAGCAGAGTCATTTCTAACCTTATTTTATCTACATTGCATTATTCTTAATTTACACTTAAGATCAACAAGACTATTGGCAGATGTATATTGAGCCTGCTGCAAAGGTGAAATTCAAACTATGGTAAAACCATAGAGTTGTTTAGTGCTGTCGTTATCATCTTTTGACGGAGATCACAATATAGAAATGGTAAAAAGTTCTGTATTCAAAAACAAATGAAGGTCCAAAAAGATGTAAAAATGGATAGAGTCAAAGCTTAAATCCATCTGAAAGCAGTTCTTATTGATAAAGACCAGCCACTAGGTCTTAAGTTGTATATTTCACCGGACTACTGGTTAATATTCTAGGTCATAATTTGAAAAAATGCTTACTGGTTTGACTCGCTCAGACTTTTAAAGATTTTAAAAGTTTTTGAATTCATGGATTCAATGAATTCAAAAACTTTTAAAATTTTTCAAAGTCGCTAACAATTCATAAGAACTCACAGGAAAACCGTAAATCTATTGATCATAGTTTAAGAAATTTATTTCTTAAAACAAGAAATATATTTCTTGTTTTTAAAAATAAATTGCAGGGTCAGTTATTTATTTCTTAAAACAAGAATCCCATTTCTTGTTTTAAGAAAAATATTTCATAATAAAAAATGCAATTTTGCTGTGCTAACAGTAAAAAATTTTCAAGATAATGTAGAGTATGTGATGACCTTGGTGAAGTTTCAGAAGCTGCTTCAAATAAAGAGTTCTTGTAAAGAATTATTAAAAAAGAAGAAGAGTGGATTCAAGGAGCTAGCTATGGCGACTGCTTTCTCTCTTTCTTGTTATTAAATGGTTCTTCAAATTAGAATTATGATCCAATACCTAACTTCAAACTCTGAACCTTAAAAGTACATTTAAAATATTTTTAAAACTATTTTCTTGAGATATTTGTAGAATATCTTAAGATAAAGTTTAAAAATTTAATATATAGTCATAATTTAGAGATAATACTATAAAACTTAAAATTTATCGATGAATATAAACTTAGTTAAGAATAGCAAAAAAATTATTTTACCAACTTGTTGCTCTCACGTTTGGGGCAGTATGGATGAAATTTTAGCGCTTTTTTGTTGCCAGCCTCTAATCATCCCAATATTTTGCAAAGCCTCATTATTTGACATAAATATAAACATACAAATGTTTTGAGTTTGTGCCATGTCTGTTAGCTTAAACACCAAAAAATGCTGGATCCTTCACTATTCTGTGGTTTGATGCCTACTCTAGGCTTTTTTTTTTACATGAAGCAATCGTAAACTTCCAAGTTAAAATGCTTTTATGCAGTGCTTACTAATGCAACCATTAGTTCTTCTTGGAGCACCTAAAATAACCACAGAAAAAATGTGTATATATATTTTTGAATCACATTGATACTTTTTAATCTAGTTTTGTTTACACAAAAGATTGAAAGTCCTTTACCCAATCTTATAAGAAAACCATTTTGGATTTGGATTTATTTGATCCAAGGCTCCAGTAATATTATTTAAAAAAGAACATTTAATATCGAAATGAGGTAAAAATCATAAAATTTGTTGTATGACTGAGAAAAAGCTCAAAGATCAACAAAAAATCACTTTACCGTAGCCAAATTGTTAATTTATCTATCGTAATCAGTGAAAGATAGGTACAACATATTTCTTAAATTATTAGGCACAGTGTTTTTTTTTTTGGTACAGTAACATATTAAGAAAATATTGTTGAACAAATTAACTGGATTTGACATCAGAATCTATTTGTGCCAATGTTTGGAATGTATATATATATATATATATATATATATATATATATATATATATATATATATATATATATATATATATATATATATATATATATATATATATATATATATATATATATATATATAAAGTTAAAATTTTTTATTGAAGTATTGTTATTATATGCACTTAAGTTATAGTGCACAGCTATAATAATTTTGATATTACATAAAATTAGTTTAGTAATGTTAACATTTCTAATTTAAAAACTTTTAGTTTGAAATGTCAGAAGAGCAGAAAAAGAAAAAAGAAGAAGAAAAAATAAAAGAAGAAGAAAGAAAGAAATTGGCTGAGCAAAGCAAGTTGCACAGGGAAAAAATGAAGAAAGAAAGAGATATTGAAAAAAAGAAAAAAATTAAGTATGAAATTAATTTCTGTAAAAATTATATACATATCTTCCTAGATAAATTATAATATAAATTATATAAATATCCTACTAGATAAATTATAATATAAGTTATATACATGTCTTTCTAGATATTATAATATACAAATATTATACATATATTAATAGAGTTTTTAAAGTATATTTAATACCATGCATCATGGTATATTCTAAAATTTAAATAACGGTATAATATAACTTAAAATTAATAAATATATGTTTGGAAAATGTCTTACTCTAAACAGATAATTTTTGTTATATATTTATGACGTTGTAATGCTATGATGTACTGCTACACTGTACAAATTTGTGAGAAATGCAGTCGTGATAAGAATTTTTTTTAAATAGTGTCCTTAAATATCTTCTGGATACGTCAATGTAACAGGAACATTGTTATCATTAATCATAAGGAACAGCACAGGACTATGGATAAAATCTTGTGACACCTCAGAAGTTACTGTAAATAGTAAATAATAAGAAATAATCTGCTATTAGAAAAAAATGATTCCATAATTTGAAAAATTTCCCTAGATACTCCATATTGTGTAACAGACTAGTTTGTCAGATCTTACAAAAAATCTTTAATGTTTCAAGAGCATTACCCATTAGGTCTTTGCCTCTCTTTAATGCACAAGAGAACCTTTTTTTAATGGTTAACAAGCCAGTACTAGATCAATAGAGGATTAAAACTTGTATTGATTGTCAGGGTAGGAAGCGACCGGGCCCAGGTAAGTTATTAGACCCAAGATAAAATAATAAAAGTTTCATATATAAAGATTCGAAGAGTTTGGTCATAAGAACACTTATTAGATGATAATTAGAGAAATCTCCAGGTTTTTAAAAATTTACATTCATAGATGTTATTTTCTAACAGGAAGATAAATAAGATTCAGTTAAGCACTTTTTGTTTCAGAGAGTAGTGAAGAGAGTTCTTAAAAACACCTTTGTAAGAAGGTGGTAGAAATGTTTATCACATGTTGAAAAAGATTTAAATTATGAAATAATATAAAAAGTGGAAGGGGATTTGGATGTTGAATTAAGAAATAATTTAAAAAGTGGAAGCCAAGGGGATGTCTTAAAATTTATTTCTCTGTGGTAATTAAAATGGTTAGATCACTTTGATCAGAAATAATATTAAAAAAAGTAATTACAAATAAATGAATTGATAAGTAAGTATATGCTTAAGATGTGTATTAAAGTCTCTGCAACTTAAAGGATTCAACACTAATCCAAACATGAAACAGTTGAATTTTACAGGTAGTTTTACAAAGAGCAAATAGGTCGGATAAGTAAGATTTAAAAAATAAAGTTACTTCAAAGGACACAATTTATAAAAGAAGTTTTAGATTGAAACAACTTTTTAGGTACTTTATTCATATTTTTAGTAATAAAAGAATTTCAACCTTAGAAATCACTTGGCACCCTAAGCAGTAAGCTATGCAATTGCATCATTGGCCCTGCTAATCAACTCAAAGTTATAAGAAAGACATGGGAAAACAAGACAAAGACAAAGTTGTAAGAAAGAAATGTTGTAAGAGGGACACCGTCCATGTGCAACATGGCACTGTTAATACTCTGATATTTTACAGTTGTTGATGAAATCAGCCTCTCTGTGAGCTAATGCAGAGTTTGGAAATCCTAATACCAGTAAGGTTTATAAGGTTTGCCATGGTCTCAGAACTACTAAACTGAGTTTTAGAAACTCTCCTTTGATTATAGCAGAAAAAGTTGCATACCCTATTTTTTTAAATTATTTTAAAAAAATAGGGTATGCAACTTTATTTTTGGTTTTGGCAGCTTTAGAATTAAAATTTTGGTTTTGTTTAAAAATGTTTTTCAGGCTAATTTCAGTTTCTGTAAGTTTATGTTTTGGCTAAAAAAACTGATTTCTGAAAAAATAGCTATTTAAATAAAAGTCCACACTTTAACAATAACAACATTATTAATTGCCACATATGAATAATAACAACATTAAACAAGTTTTTTTTTAAATTTATTTATAGATGATTTTTCAAATGAGTCTTGTATGCTATTTGCATTTATTATAATATAAGTTACATTATATATTGCACAAATTAGTTGCATAATATTGCACAAATACAAAGTGTTTAGTAAATAAATTGTTTTCTATATAAAAATTTTGTGTAATTTTATTGAAGTTTTGATTATCAAAAAAATGATTTGTCTACTTGTATGGTAGCAATGAGTTGGTATTTGATAAATGTGCAATTAATTATTTCAACAAGTTTTGTTTTTTTGTATTGATTTATATTTTGGTTCTATCCCATTTGATGTCTATCCATCATTTTGCTTTTTCAAGCACTCATAAAGGGATTACCTCATAAAAGGATTAGTTTGGTCTTGCAGATAAGGCAGGCTGTTAGTAAAGCACTAAAAAGTTCTTTTATTAAAAGTTAAAAGTCCTTACCATTTTAACTTTTTTATAAGTCTGTATTAAATTTAATCTACAGCAGAAAAATATGTGAAGCTGGGAAAGTGGCCAATCCTTGTAAGTAAAGTTAACAATATTCTCAAAGCAAAAAAGAAAAGAAGTGTTGATAAAATAGTTTTTGTTGGAAATAAATAAAAATATTTGTCAAGCCTTTTTTAAAAGTTTCTAATTTTTAGTAATCTTAATAAGATCATGAGGTAGTACACTCTAATTGTCCATGCATTTGTATAAAAATGTTTTCTAGCTATAAATCTAATAACTCCTTTAAAAACCCCTAAGACGACTGGGTGGCCCAGTTTGCACTAGTCTAGTAGCCAGTGATAGTCAATTCATTGAACTTCAAGGTAAATCTTGTAATTTTGGATAAGATTGCTTTGGGTTGGTTTGTAAGTGATTGGATACAGATAGCAGTTTGGTAAACAAATACATGTAGGTTTTTTAATTGTTTTTTATTAATTCGTTTCTGCTTTCTAACATAAATATACAAAAACTTTAGATCTGATATTTTGCAATAAATTAGCCTTGTATAAGCTTTGTAGCCCTTTAGAATATTTAAGTAAAAGCAATTTTACATGGCAATGGTATATAATGCTGGTTTAAGTAATGAATTGAAAGTCGCATAGCCACACAAACACAAGGAAATGCTGAAAGTTTATCTTCAGTTGAATTATTAGTTTCACAAATAAAATATTTTCGGTCAATAATTTTTTTTTACAAAACATTAAATGATAAATATATTTATTCATGCTATTGTGATGATATTTATTCATGTTATTTACACTTATCGTTTTTTAATTTTGACTGCGAAAGTACGAGTTTATGCTATTCAAATCTGTTTGGTTGTAATCCTGTTTTACATGCATTCTGATCTTTGTTTGCAAGTATTAAGTTTATACAATTGTTAAGTGAAGTTTACCTTTACAAAGTGTACATAAGTAGGGTTTAATGAAATATTAGCAAGGCTCTTAAAACATCAGTTAAAACTAAATCTGATATAAGAAAAGTAAAATTGCTTTGATCTACAAGTAAGGAAGCTTTTTGAATTGAACTATCCGATGATGGAGGCCAGTAATTACAACTTATCAGAAAGTGATCTTTGGCAGTATTAAGACTACATCAGAGCTTATTTCAGTAGGCAGCTAAGAGTCTGTAACTGGGAGGTATCAATTACAGCTTCAGCTGCAGTATCAATGTTTAAACTATATGTATGTAGTAGTTGTATTGTATAGTAAATAATATATGACTGATGTTTTCAGTGTTTTTCCATATTTTTGAAATTTATTTAAATATATATTATAAATTTATTGAATATATATGTTATAATTTTTTAAAAGTAAGGGTTTTTTTAATAAAATATACAATAATAATATATAAAAATAATACTATTAAAATTTGGGTTAAAAAAATTAGTTAAAACAAGAGAATAAAATTGAATTTAAGCAATGACACATTAGTAATAAAAAAAATGATTTTAACAGTGTAGCACTATTAGATGATGTATTCAACTTGGTAATGTTAAAAGCAATAAAGATATGGTAGTGAAAATTTATAAGAGAATCATTTTATAATTTTTAAAGATTTTTTATTTCTAGTGATGACAATGATGTAAATATGAATGAAGAGAAAAGCGAAGAGAAAATTACAGAAGACAAAATTGAAACAGACATCCAAACAAAAAATGATAAAAAGCTGCAACAAGAAGAAAAGAAAATTGATAAAAAACAACAAGAAGAAAAGAAAATCGATAAAAAGCAACAAAAAGAAGAAAAGAAAATCGATAAAAAGCATCAACAAGAAGAAAAGAAAATTGATAAAGAGATACAAAAAGATGAAAAGAAAAAGTTAAAAGAGAAAAAGTCAAAGGAAAAAAAAGTGAAAGAAGAAAAAAGTTCAAAAGTTGATGAAAAAAAAGAACAAAGAAAAACCAAAGATCTAAAGACAGAAAAAAAACACATGTAAGTAATTAAAAAAAATTAATGTACTATGAATTAAAATGCATATATTATTTACATATTTAATAAGTAAAGCATATGATTGAATGTGACAACTTAGTAGTTAATAAATGCGACAATTGAGTAGTAAACAAATTTACATAATTAAGAAATACAGTATATGATTAAATGTGACAACTAAATTAAGTGTTGTGATAACAGTAATTGTTGTGACAATTGTGGTAAGCTCTGTGACTTTATTATTTAAATTTAAAATCTTGTGTTGTTTGGAATATCGATTTTTAGGGGCTCTGGGGTCAAAAAATAGAAGCCCGATTTTTTTTTTTTTTTTTTTTTTTTTTTGAGTAAATTAACCAGAGTTTTCAGGGCTGAAAATCCCTGAGAGTCCTGAGAGGCTGAGAGTCCCAAAATACTAGAGCAGACTTAATAAAGTTTCAATTATGCTTTAAAAAATTATGATTTATTTTTGATTTCATTTCTTTGTTTAAAAAATATTTATTTTAGGCTGCAGGTATTTCTACTAATATACTTTATATAACAAATTTGTTAACTTTAAGTGTATATGTGGTAGTGGTTGAGTGGTAGAGTACTCGTTTGGTAAGAGAAAATATCCAAGTTTGTTAACCGATGTGTCTGCCTTATTTTTTTTTTAATTACATAATTAGTTAAATACCTAAAAATAGTTATTAAAATCAGTGTTGTAATATCTTGTAAACAAAATTTAAACCAAAATGTTGTGATACGTTTTTGTTTATTTTAATTTCTAAATTATAGCAACTCAAAAATATTACAAATTTTTTTCTAGACAATTTGCTCAGACACATTTAATTTATTTCAATTACTACACTTGTAAAATGATTTCACAAGTGTAGTAAAACTTTCTAATCGTGTTTAAAAAGACTTTTTTTAAAACAACTTTTTTTATCTGTAAAATCATATATATTAGTTATAGCAATAATTAATTTTTTTTTTTTTTTTACTTTGGGATAAAGGCAGGCTTTCTTTTAACATAGGACCTCTTGGTTCTGAGCCAGAACTCTAATCACTGTGTCACGCAGTAGGTTTGAGTGTGTAAATATTTGCGCTGAATCTATGGTTGCATTATCCTTGTTTTTATGTAAGAAAGCAAAGTGCTCAGTGTGTTCTATGGAAAAACAGTGACAATGACAACCCAGGAATAAGTATAATTTGGCATCTAGCTATCAGTGTACACCAAAGGTTTTGTGTACCACATATGCTGTAATTTGCTTTTTATACTCTTTAAAGGCTATATATTATAGGCGATGTATGGCATAAACACGCTGCACATTTTAAAATAATTTATATGCCAGAGGGATTGCCATACATATTCAATGCGCTCGTGCTTTTACTGGTTTGAAGTTACAAAACTGTTAGCTAAATAAATTTATAAACTTATAAAAGATAATAAGGGTTAGTTAGGAAACATTTATTTGCTTATATAAAAATCCCAGAGTCAAAACAATTTTTAAGGCCAGGCATTAGTTTCCAACCAATATTAAAAGCAACTTAAGTGCTGATGTCTTTCAATTTTTTTTGAAAGCTGACATAATTTTTTTTTTTTTTTAAATTCACTTCACCAAAACTGTGAAGGCTACTACAGTTGAGGAGGCTACTTTAGTTGTCGTTACAACTAGAGATAAAAATTAAACCCTTTTTTAAAGTTCAGGTCCAGTTTGGTTTAGTTAAATCTAATGTTCGAGTTTGATTTGGTTCAGTCTTGAGTTCAGTTGGAGTTCGGTAGAAATCTAGTAGAATTTTAAATCTAGTAGAAATTTTTTCTTTTGTGAATGTTCTAGATGCATTATAACTAAATGTAGAACTAATATCCTTCTTTGGTTATAGGTTCAAATTTTATTCATAAAAGTTTAAGAGAATTTTAGGAAACAGATTCGGTCCTTTTTTGTCCTTTAGCTTATAAATTTGATGCAAGTATTTGTCAAATTCACGTCTTGTGTCAATACTGCTAGCCTTAGACAATAGAGCTGTTTTAAAGTCTGCCTGCAAATCATACAATTCAGCGCCAGCTTTACTTTTTTCAAAGAAGACAGTTGATTAGAATGACTGCATTCACTAAAGCTATCCATATCTGTATTGCCTGAGTCCTTGTGTATCACCTGAGATGTTGAAGAAGTTATAGTTTAGTCTACCATACTACACATCTTTGAATAAACAAAACTGCAATCTTCTACATTAATGAAAAACAAGTTTTATAAGAAGTAACAATAAGTGTTGATAGCTTATACAAAGGATGAACAATATATATTTAATCAAGCTGGACAGAAAAGCTGCCTTTAAATCACACACTGTCACTGTCTGAACCATTGATCTTGTAGACTGACCGTAAACAAAGTAGTATTATGTTATGTATTGTAGACTTAATTTATGTGTTTGGTTATGATAATTGTTACATTATGTATTGTAATTATACATATAGTATAATTGTATGTATATATATATATATATATATATATATATATATATATATATATATATATATATATATATATATATATATATATATATATATATATATAAAATAATAATAATAATTTTACATTGTTACACATGCGCATAATTATGTTATGTTTTATGTTATGTATTTTAGACTTAAGTTAAGTATTAGATTTGTATTATATATTATGTTATGTATGATAATGCGAATTGCTAAATTTTCACTACTCTTTTTTTTTTTACTTTTTTTTTTTTTTTTTTTTTTTTTCACTCTTTTTGGTTTTCGGTTTGTTTCCCATCTCTTGTTACAACCCTCTCTCGACTCTATAACTCCGAAACACAAACCTTGACAAATAAGGCCACTGCGTGGAGAAACAAGTTAAGCGTGGTACTACCATTGATGTGGTGGTAATCGAACTTGCAACTTCTCACTTATGAGGCGAGCGGTCTACCACTATCACAAGTAGCATGTTTTGATGTTTTGTTCAGAAAATACAATTTTTTTTCTAATTTTTGGTGATTATTTAATTGCAGTTTTGAGAATTTCATAATGAAAACAACTTTTTTTTCATTTTTGATATCTTTGAGTTATTCTGTACATTTTTGTTGTTGTTATTTTCTTCTTTTGTGATATTTTAGCATACATAAAAAAGTACAAATTTCCTTGCTTGTTTTGTTTGCTTGTTTTTTTGTTTCCTTGCTTGTTTTGTTTTGTCAACATTTGTACATTGTCAACATCATTGTCAACATTTATACATTGTCAACATCAATGTCAACATTTGTCATTGTCAACATCTTGTTAATGTCAACATTTGTAAATTATTTCACTATTTGGTGTGCAAGGAATTGACTGTCATTATTTTACTTATTTAAATGAAAGTTCAGATACTTTTTAATGCCCATGAGATATTAGATATATATAAGATATATATAAGTAAATTTTTGTTTAATGAGGTTAGTATATATAATATATCTTAGATACAATATATAGATATTAGATATAAGTAAATTTTTATTTAATGAGGTTAGTATATATCTTTTTGATCAAAAATATTTTCATTTTAAAATAATTTTAGAGAAATCTAAAAGTTCTATCCCAAAGAAATTTTTTCTTCAGAAGTCTGAAAAAATTTCAATCAGTTCTTAATCACTTTCACTCATTGGTGTTAATATGAATTCAGTTAAAATCTTTTGAAAAAGGTCTTAACCCACTATAGATCCTAATTCTAATCGGTTCTGATGTATATTAACTATATATAGTTGTCAAATACAATATTTCTATCAATTTTCACAAAAAAATGCTAGAATTCCGACCAAGAAAGAGCTTATAATTAAGAAAAAATGCCAATAAACAATCAGAACAGATCATATTATTAAACTATGGTGTTCATTTCACCTAAATGTATTTATTTAAAATCTTATTCAAACTTGAATAAACAATTGTGATTTTAAGAAGATTTTTTTTTAAAAAAAGAATCTTCGGCTTGGGTTTTTTCGTTACAAACATTTATATTTTATGATACCGCAAGATTGATAATTTTAATTTTTTTCGGTTTTTCATAATTTACAGCCATGATCATTTATTGGAAATATGTTGTTGTCAACAAAATATCATACAGACGCTATAATATTTTAGAATTGCCTACACTGAGTAGTTAACTTGTTTTTATATTTTTTTACGTTATGTATGTTGACATGATCTCAAAATTATTGGCACAATTTTATCTGATTGTCTTCTTTAAGCCAATAAGATATACATTTTCAAAATTAAAACAATGCTACGCGCAGAATATGGCTACCTTTTCCATTTCTGGATACTTTATATATTTCTGGCGACCGCATATCGCAAAATATCTGGCAACTCTGATAGTTATTAATAAAATGATTTTTTTTAAATAGATTATTTAGTTGTCAATAATAAAAGCTCTTATAAAAACTCTGTCACGCTTCTTAGAATAAGATCAATTGCGGGGAAATTAAAAAATTTATATCAACAAATCTTCATTCTATTATAATAAAAAATTACAGTTGTTAAATGTTATAGAATGGTGTAACATTAAGTTTTATGAAATGAAGTTTTTTGGCTTGTTTTGTTATTTAATACTGTTGATTTTATCAACTTTAAAAAGTTGATTTACTTTGAAGCTGATATTTTCACATTTTGATTTTTTAAGTAAGGAAAATGGAAAGAAAAAAGAAAACATTTCTTCTGAGGAAAATAAAGAGCGAGAGCAGAAAGCTATTGAAGCTATGAAAAGGATTACAGATGACAATAAAGGTTTTTACTTGCTTACTTTTTCAAACATCTCGTTAAGGTTTTATCTCTTCAAAGTTTTATCTTTTCAAAGTTATATCTCTTCAAAATTTTATCTCTTCAAAGTTTTATCTTTTCAAAGTTTGTTTTTTTAGATGCAACAGTTGCTGAACATCTCCAAAAATTAGAAATCGAATTGCGAAAAAATTTATCAGTAAAATCAACGGTTTGTTTTTATTTGATTTAAATCTTTATTATAGAATTCTTAAACAAGAAAACAAATAATGTTTGAAAAGTTCTTGTTTACAGGATGTAAACAAGAACTTATCTTGTTTACACATTAAAAATGTTAGAAATATTTTTGTTTACAGGATCACATTAAATCGTTAAAAGTTCTTCAAGAAATTTCCGATCTTAATTTAACAGCTTCAATTCTTATGAAAAACAAAACCATTGTGACAACTTTAAAAAAGGTTTCTTCATTTTTTAAATGTTGAAAGTTTTTATTACTGTTTTTTGTTGTTGTTGTTGTTTTTTTGTTTTTTTATATATGTGTTATTTTTCTCTGTTTTACATTATTAAACCTAAGTTATTATAATGTATTATTTGCTACATTATTCAACTTATATTTTATTTTATTTTAATTTCATAAATTTTATTCATAAAAGTTTAATTTTTATAACGTTTAAAACTTACAGATATAGTAACTCTCAAGCAACGAATTGTTTTATTAACTTTAAAAGATTATGTATTACACGATTGTTACTTGCAAATCATGATGAAACTTTAAAATTGATGTTTCGTACTTTACGTGACTATATTTCATTTTAAATTATTTTATTTAAGATAAAGGCATACAAAGCTAACCAGCAGGTTAGCGAGAAAGCGACCGAGTTATACTCTCATTTTAAAAGTCTGTTTGCTGTTGCAGGTTAGACTTTAGACTACGTTTGTCGTTGTTGTTATTTTAAAAACACTTTGAATTTATAATGTCCGTTATTGGTTATTAGATCTAGATATCAGTTCTACTAACAGTTAGAAAACTAATTTGTTTTGATTATTTTTTATTTTGATCTTTAAATTTCAATAATAATGCTAAAGATTAAAAAGGAAGTACCAAATAATCTTAATGAGTATATTTTCAGATTTAAAAACATATTGGTTATATATATATATATATATATATATATATATATATATATATATATATATATATATATATATATATATATATATATATATATATATATAAATCTGGGCTGTCTTTAAATTTCGGAATATGTTCGATTTTATATACGAAATTAGTTTCGCCTTAATATTTAAAATCAGAATATCAGATTAAAGTAAAATATTAAGTTCTCATATATTACATAATAATCTGCTAACACCATATAAGATTTTTAAATTTTTTATAGGTGTTTCTACAAATGCTTCAGTTCTTCATCATACCGAACCAAAAGAAAATAAAATTAACGATAAAATAATAACTACAGGTAAAGCATAGCAACCATTATTATTAGTTATATTTTTTATGTTAAATATTAAATTTTATTCTTATTTTTTCTTCAGGTTTATGAAAGAGCAAAGAATTTTTTTTTAAACCTAAAATCGTTCCTGCATTTTGACATAGGTCCATTCTAAAACTATGTCTTACCTACATTAGTTATGGTACTTACAAAATTATAGATATAAAATCGCAAATCTGTAAATAACAAAGACATTCGTTTTTAAAATTTTATTTTTAAAAGATTTGTGTTTTACAGAAAATATTTTATGCTTTGATAACGTTCGGGAAAATAATGTATATTTACTGTTTATATTTGGTGTATTAAGTCTGTACGTATATTAATATACTAGAGTCTACGATATTATATTCGCTCTCACGTACGATCTTAAGTGACGCCACGATTTTTAAGAGAAACTACATTTTATTTTACATGATTCATTTTAAAACTTGTTTTGGATTTATTTATTAGCCCTAAAGAAAAATAGAATAAAAATGTTTTTGATATGAACATGTGTTTTTTATGATGCCAACTACATAGGGTCTCTAACTGTTCTAAGTGCTTCTAAACCGAATGTGGTGGTTTCGATTTGCGTATAGATATTGTTTTTTTACTGTATTCACTTTCTTAAAACTGCGGGGTTATACCATCGATGAGTGTACTGAATTTTTTTTTAATTTTGGTCGCAGCACTTTCCTTAACTCCAAAACAATGAGTAATAAAGTTGTGCTGGACATTTTTTATGTATAGCCAAGACAAATATGTTCTGGCTTTACATAAGATTCAAACATTTAAAAAAATAATCGTACCAATACTGACTGTATATGTTTCAAAACTTTGTGAGATATTGTCTATTTACTTAGACATCGATAATAGTTTAGGGAAAATTTTGTCGCAAGCTTTTTTTCAGATTGGACAGAAAAAAATTTATTTCTTTTTTTTTTTTATTATTATTATTTAAGAATTAGTTTACTGCAGTTAAAACTGTTGAAATATATTCTCAAGGTGGTACAATATTAATTGTACCGTCGAGTTGGGTTACTTAGATAGGTTTTATTGATTTTTTTTTTTTAATTCCGATAAAATTTTAATTAGTCGCTGCCGTTTTTGGTTTGAATATACCAAATGATCTCTCCTTAACAGAAAAAATGCTTTTCAGAAATATCAGAACCTGTCTTGTATTTTTTTTGAAAAGCCTAAACAGTTATCAATGTTGGGGTTATTTTGATAGTAAATGTTATTTCAATCAAGTATCAAGTTAACCTCACAACGCAGTTTCGTTGAGAGTTTTTAAGGCTTTAAAAAAAAAATAGGCTAGCACTCCTCCAAAAAATTGTTAAGTTTGTTGAAAAATTATCAAACATTATCAAAAGTTCTTGATTTCAGTGGATGACTTGGCGAGACAGGTATGAAAGCAATATTCATCGCTCGTTTTTCACGGTTTATCTGTAATTCTTTTAACCACAGCAGAAAATGGAACAGCTTCATTCATGTCATCTTTGCTTTCTGTAAGTTTGAAGAATTTACTCACCGGTTGTTTTTTCAAAATTTCCAGTATTCTCCTCCATTCTTTCTTCATGGACCCAAAGACTGTGACATCCTGTCGTTGAAGGAGATGAGTTGCATTTGGTACCAAACAGGTGAAACGAGTGTTATTCAGTTGGGTGGCCTCGATAACTCAAAGAGAAAAATGAGAGGCAAGATTGACACCAATGATAACTTTTGATCCATGAACGTTACCAACGTGAGGAAGAAATATTTCCAGGAACCAGCGTTTAAAGGTTCTCGAATCGAACCAGCCTAACTTTGTGTTGTCATAGCATTTTTCTTCTGGGCCACCTCCGCTCCATTCTTTAATAAATAATTTGAGACTTAAATACCACCATAGTTGGTAGGAATACTCCAATAGCATTTCCACAATACATGATGCTTACACAACTCTTTGAGTGCTGCATTTTATGCTCGACTCTTTTAAGTCCTCGTCTGCATATGATCGATTTTGCGCAAGGGTCATCCGAAAGATTAGTCTTGTCATATTTATAAATGTTACAGGGTTTAAAGAGAGGGCAACTGGATCTCCGACTTGTTTTTCATGTTTACCATTTATTCTGTTGTGCAATGTCCTAAATGTAATTTTAAATGTTTTAGATGCTTTCAGCAATCTCATAGTACCTTTCCAGCAATATTGAAGGGCCGCTTAGGACTGAAGGTGAACGATAACCACGACTCCCGTTCTTCCTCTTGTAGGTCCTCATATTACGGATAGCTATATGTTATTATAGTATTTTATTACTGTTTAGAATACGTTTTTTGCACTTTCATCCACTTTTTGATAAAACTTTTTTCATTTTAACAACTATAATATGTTTTTTACATTTCAAATCGGTTTTATGAAATCTTAGTAAACTTTTGATTATTTTATTTATTTTTTATGATTATTTATTATTATGATTATTTTGTAACTTTTGATTATTTATTTTTTATGATAATTTATTTTATAACTTTCGATTATTTATTTATTTTTTGATTATTTATTTGTTTATTTATTTTATAACCTATGATTATTTATTTTGATGATTTATTTGTTTATTTATTTTAAACCAAGGACACTGAAAATAGAAAAATAATAAAATAATATTATAGAGATATTACAAAGATAATATACTGAAAAAGTAATTCCAAAAAAATTATTAAAGTTACCCCGGGTATCAAGTTAACCCCACTTGACCGTATAAGGATTGTCCACATTATGCAACGTAAAAATTATTTTAAAAATTTAAGAAGGACATCATTTCGCTCTTTTAAGCGGCGGTTTGAAGGGTTGTTTATATACTTGGTTTAATTAAAGACTCTGCGAGGGAAGTACAAGTTTAAATTTTGAGATTTGTATAAGTTTAATTTCGCGTTACGTAATTTATGGACAATCCCATGAAAGTCATTTTAAAAAGAAATAACTTTTTTTTTTTTTTTTTTTTTTTTTTTTTTTTTCTGTTTACATTTGCCGTAAAATAAATACTATATTTTACAAGAACAAAGAAAACAAGGCTTCTAAAAGAAGATCTACTGATCTTATCATCAGAACCTTTACAATTTTATCATACCATAAAACTGAAAATATAAATCCAAAAACGGCCGTAATAATAAATATATAATAATAAATTCATAATATTAATCACGTATCTGTAATAATAATTCTCACAAATTTGTTATAATAATCCATAATAATAAATTTTGTAGATCTGATATAAATTAAAGAAAATAAATTTATTAATATAAATATTATTATAAATCTCATAAATCAAGTTTATACTTCAAGCTAATAGTAACTTAAAATGTCATCCATAGCAAGAATGAATTTTTTTAATTCATTTTTAAAAACAGAAAAACGGATAAAAGGATCAAAATTAGGCAGAACTATTTTATTCCAAAGGTAAGGTGCTCTATAATTAATACAAAATTTATTAAAATTTGTTCTACAAAATGGTTCATTTAGCAAATCTTTATTTCTTAGTGAGTACTTATTAGTAAGTTTTAACGTAAAAAGGTCGTTAAAAACAGGTAGGGATAAATTGTTTTTCCACATATAAGTAAAACATAAAACATTGAAAACATTAAGTTTGTAGACTAAGTATTTTCATTTCATCAAAGAAAGGCTTTGAATGTGTAGAGCGATCCACATAATTAATCACGCAAATCGCATATTTCTGTTGGCGATATAGACGTTGTAGTTTACTTTTTTCGGTACTACCCCATGCAATATTTGCGTAGTTTATATAGCTGTGTATGAATGAGTAATAGAGCTGCGTAAGGCTTTTTTTGCTTAAGTAAGGTCGGGCTTTATACAAAATGCCAATATTTTTAGATACCTTGGTGGTTACATGATTAATATGGTTTTTCCAAGTAATATTCTCATCAAGATAAACACCTAGGAATCTTATAACAGAATCTCTTTTTATTAGAGTTTCATCAATATAAATTTGAGGCATAATATCTGGTAAAGAACGTTTTTTTGAGAAGGAATGAAAAAGAATCCATTTAGTCTTGTTAGTATTTAACGTTAATTTATCACATTTAAACCATTTAGAAATGTTTATAAGTTCATTATTAGTTTTTAAGAAAAGTTTGTAAACATCAGTGTGGGATTGAAATAAGTTAGTGTCATCGGCATAAATAATACTCATCAGGTTAGAGGCTTTGTTTAGATCATTGACATATATAAGAAATAGCAGTGGTCCAAGAATAGAACCTTGTGGAACACCACAGGTTATATTTAAGGATCCACTTTGAACGTCATTATTACTATAGACTACTTGCTTACGATTTGTTAAATAGCTTTTAAACCACGCTAAAGTATTATTGTTTAAACCGTAATATTTCATTTTTTGTATTAAAATATTATGGTCAACCGTATCAAATGCTTTTGATAGATCTATAAAAATACCTAATGTATATTGAGCTTTTTCAAAGGATTTGGAGATGTTGCGTACAAATTGAATAATGGCATGCTCAGTTGAACTATCTTTTTTGAAGCCGAATTGATTATTGTATAGTAGGTTATTGTAATTAAAATAATTATTAACTCTGTTAAACATAATTCTTTCTAGGATTTTGGAGAATACAGATAGGATAGAAATGGGGCGGTAATTATTGATATTGGATCTGTCGCCTTCTTTGTGAATTGGAATAATTTTAGCAATTTTTAAGCGCTCAGGGAAAATTCCTTGTTGGATGGATGCTTTGTAGGTTTTAAAAAGAATATTTTTAATTTGTTCATAGCAATCTATAACTATATTTCCGTTTATTTCATCAGGCCCAGTTGCTTTATTTTTTTTTTAAGGTTTTAAAAGCTTTTTCAAACTCTTCAAAGGATAATTCGGACGATAGTTCATCTGAGCAAATGCCTTTATCAAGAGGTGCTAAAAAATCATGAAAAGAAGTTTTGGTAATTGGAATTTTATCTGATAGGGTTGGACCAATTTCAACAAAATATTTATTAAACTCATTAGCTATAACTTGTGGGTTGTATAAAATTTTGTTATCGATTTTAAGCATGTGTGGTAAAAAACTTGAGCATGTTTTTTGTTTCCCAATTATTTCTTTTAGTATTTGCCAAGTGCGTTTTAGGTTATTTTTTGTTTCATTAATCAAATTTAAATAGTAGTTTTTTTTTAAACTTTTCCGGATTTTTTCAAATAAATTTTTATATTCTTTGTATTTTTTTTCGCTTGTAGGAGTTTTTGTTTTTAGGTATTTTATATATAACTTTTGCTTAGTTTTTGATGATTTTTTGAAACCTTTGGTAACCCAAGGATTATTTATGTTTTTAGTTTTTGATGTATGAGTAACATTAGGAAAGTTAGCATCGTAAACCGAAAAAAATGTTTTAAAGAAATTTTCAAAAAGATTATTAGCGTTATCATTAAAGTTTAAATGTTTCCAATGCAGTAGCGATAGTTGGTTTTTAAACAATTCAATTTTTGATTGATTAAAAATACGTTTAGTTAAGATTT